AGAGCATGCCCATCCTCCCCAGCTGGAGGCGGGGGCCCGAGCCCCGAAAGTCCGGCACCCCGCCCTGCCGCCGGCAGCACACGGTCCTCTGGGACACGGCCATCTGAGGAGGGCGGGAGCCGGGGCAGCAGGACTGGGGAGCAGGGCAGGGCTCTCCGAGAGACTTGCCTTGAATGAGGGACCCTTGAAGGACCAGGTGAGAGAGAGCCACCCCGGCCCTTCATCCTAACCCCTGGAGGCGGGGAGTCTGCCAGGCCCAGCGGGCTGGGGGCACTAGCAGTACCCACAGACATTTGGGGGAGGAGGAGGGTTTGCTTGAAGTTGGGAGTGAGGCTCTCGCTGCTCTTCCCACTCAGCGTGGTAGACCCCTCCCGAGAGGGCAAAGGCCAAGCCAGAGGTCAGCATGGGGGTGGAGGGAAGGGTTAGGGAGGAAGGGGACGGGCCAATTGAAGGAGGGACTGGAGAGAGTGAGAGGTGAAGGAGCTCTTATAGAGTCGGGAATTGGGGAGGGCATATTTATTTTATTTATTTTAGTCTAGAGGGCAATTCTGCCCCCACCCCCCCCCCCCCAAGCAGGGAGTGGGGAGTCGAGAGCAATTAAAGGAAAGCACGTTTGCACTCTCCCCAACGCCTAAAGGCCCCACTATCCAGGCCTGCCCCAAAGCTAGGGGTTGGTCTGGAGGGCAGCAGACTCATTTACAGTATTTACAAGTCGCCAGAATTTGGTAGGGAGCTGGCCTGTTCTGAAACAGGCATCTTCTTTAGCTCTGGAGTGAGGATCTGGCACCAGGGATGGGTGGGATGATGGGGAAGGAGGGAAATTTTTGTGGGTGGGGGGGAGGGCAGGGTATTTATTTAAATTTTAAAAAATCAGAAGAGATGTCAGGAATTTTTTTTTTAATTCCTTTCTTGCAGAATAATATATTAAAAGACTAATGATCCTAGAACTGGCTTCTTAAATTTCAGTGTGCTCTGCCTTTCTTACATTTGTTTCCTTTTCCCTCTGACCCTTGGTTTGTGGGAGTTGAGGGTTGTGCAGGGAGGGTTGAGTGGCTGTAGTAATGGGGACAGGTGGAGTGTGAGGTAAGTTTTCAGTGACTCCACATATTTATGGAGCATCTGATGTGTGCTTGACAATGTGCCGATGCAGAAGGAATATTCAAACTAAAACCTGCCCTCCAGCAGTTGTGATCTACCCAGGGAGATGAACTACCTGAGCTGACACTAGCCAGTGCTCCAGGAGTAAGAGAGGGAGAGGGCTGGGATCAGCTGAGAATGCTTCTTGGAAATTGAGCCTATAAGGACAGGTAAGGTTTGGATGAGCAGGGGGAGGAAGGAAAGTCCCAAAGTCACAGTGATTGTCTGTAGAACAGTAGAAGATGGGGGTACGGGCCAGGAAGTGTGTTTAAATTATACAGACGCAGCCCTGGCCTGGGGAGGGGGGGTGGGCTCAGTTGTCTGAAGGGTCATCCCATACACCAAAAGGTTTCAGGTTCGATTCCTGGTCAGGGCATGTGCCTAGGTTGCAGGTTCCATTTCCTGTCTGGAGGAGTATGGGAGGCAACTGATCGATATTTCTCTCCCACAACAATGTTTCTCTCTCCCTTCCTCTCTCTGTAGAATCAATTAAACAACAACAACAAACATATCCTCAGGTGAGGATTAATAAATAGATAAATAAACAATACAGAGGGCAATAGGGAGTCAGCCATGATGAAGCTGGTTGAGAAAGATGGGCTTCAAAGGAACATGCTGGTCTTGGGGAAGGAACCGTGACAAATCCCAGGAGGTGATGTATCACGGGGAGGAGGATGAAAACAATGTCTGGGAGAATGGAGAACAAGAGACAATGAATGCGGGTGGGAGGAGGGAGAGCATCTTCCAAGCCCAGTTTGGAGCTTATGTGATTGGGGAACTGATCACCTTGACACAGCAAGGAAAGTGGGGTTGAAAGGACTTTGAATGAAGATCAATGAATTTGAAGCAATAGTGAATATTCAGTTAAAAGGTTTGTGATCACCTAGAAAAAAGTTTAAAAAAAATAGATAATACAAGAGATGTTTTTAAACAGTATGGAGGACATTTTTTAAAAACTTTAATTGTCTTGTGTTTATTTCCATTCATATTAAAGAAATTATAACCAGCACATCAGACTTATTGTTCTTTCCTGGTTATTATTACATAAGGCTAATTTTTATATGTTTTAATTGATTTCAGAGAGGAAGGGAGAGGGAGAGAGAGAATCATTGATCGGCTGCCTCCTGCATATCCCCTACTGGGGATCAAGCCTGCAACCTGGGCATGTGCCCTGGCCTCTCCTGGTTCATAGGTTGAGGCTCAACCACTGAGCCACACTGGCCAGGCATAAATGAAAATTTTTAAGTTTGATCACATTCACAATTTAAACTTACATATGGCCACGACAATCTACAAACATAACTGGGAAAATTTTTCTTCTAACACATGAGAAAATGATCGGTACAATATACAAGAAAGATTTTTGAGTTGATAAGAAAAAGGAAAACAACCCAAACAAATGTGAAAAGAGGACATGAACAGTTCACCAAAGAAACAGAAATTACCAATAAACATGTCCAACCTTAACAATAAACAATGCAAAATAAAGCAATAATAAAATACTTTTCACCTGTCAGGCAAAACTGAAAAAAATTCATAACATCAATCTGGCAAGTATGTGCAGGGAAGAGGCGGTCATTGTTAAGTGTAAATTAATACAGCCTTTTTGGAGGTCAGTTTAACAGTATTTATTAAAATTTAAAATGGGCATGGTTTTGACTCAAAAATTCCATTTCCAGGAATTTACCCTACGGAAATAGTTACACAAGTGTACTAAGCTCAGTGTACAAGGATGCTAATTGCAGCATTGTTTGAAATAATGAAAAACTGGACACAACCCCTAATGCTCATCAGTATGGAACTAAGTCATTTGTGGTATCAATGGAGAACTGAAGCTGTTAAATACAATGCAGAAGATATAACTGTTCTGAACACAAGAAGCGGTTCATAATAAGTGAACAAAGTAATGTGCAGGAGAGTACATATAGAAAAAGCACATTTTGAGAAAAAATATTTGTAAATTTTTATGTAGGTCTGGAAGGAAGTACACCAAATACTTGATGATGATTATTTTGAGGCCTGACAAGAGAGGTGTCTTAATGTGTTCAAAAAAATTTAGATTACTTAAATTTTTATGTGTATGTCTTCATTCTGAAATCAGAAAACTATGTATTTATTATTATTTTTTAAATATATTTTATTGATTTTTTTACAGAGAGGAAGGGAGAGGGATAGACAGTTAGAAACATCAATGAGAGAGAAACATCAATCAGCTGCCTCCTGCACACCCCCCACTGGGGATGTGCCGGAAACCAAGGTACATGCCCTTGACCGGAATCGAACCAGGGACCCTTCAGTCCGCAGTCTGACGCTCTATCCACTGAGCCAAACCGGTGAGGGCATGTATTTATCATTTTTTAAAAATAAATAGTTATGTGTTCAAAGAGGATAAAGACAGAGGACGGGTTGTGCTCAGTGACAAGGAACAGAGGTAGGCACCAAGTGCCAGGTACTGTGGAGCCAGCATATGTGGGTTCAAATCCAGATGGGCACTTAGAGGTTGGAAAGAGAGGTAGGGATAGAGATGGAGACGAGGTGAGATGAGAAAAACTGGAATCTCACCAGAGTTGGAAGGAGAGGCTGGATTGCATGCAGTCAGGGCAATAAGGGCTCAGACAAAGGCAGGTGCTTAAGGATGCTGTGAGCCTGGGCAACCCAGACCTTTTGTGAGATGTACAAGATTGAAGGCCTGCAAAGAGTTAAAATGTTTTAAAAACTTAGACGATGCTGGAACTATACATCTCACATGAGGAGGGATGAGCACCCCCTGGGAAGTCAGCCTGGGCCCAGCCCTGCCTGCCTAACACCTGGTAAAACACCTGGATGTCCTCCCGGGGCCACCAAGCCACTTCCAACTCTGACTTTCCACCTTTTGAAACTCCAGCAAAGCAGGGAGGCCTAGGGCAGTACAGCCAGAGGTGAGAGTGTCCTGGAGCATTCAAGTCAAGAGGGTGACGGGAGCTGGGTGGGAGAGACCTTCATCGGTTTTATTGACTGAAAATGGGTGAACCCATTCAAATTAAAGGGGGGAGAAAAGTACCTCAGAAATAAAATGCTGCCTTATTTTTCACGGCCAGTTTTCCCGTTGAGATAATATTTCAGCTCTGAAGAGAGATTTCTATCAAAGGGTTATGTCAAAAAGACTTGGGAGCAATTTTGAAGAGCTCTCAATGGCCAAAGGATGGGATAATTCGAGCATCAAGATGGTTAAGAACTGGCCTGGCTGCTGTGGCTCAGTTGGTTGGAGGACTGTTTGATGCACCGAAGGGTCTCAGGTTCAATTCCTGGTCAGGGCACATACCTAGGTTTCAGGTTTGAGCCCCTGGTTGAGGTGTGTGCAGGAGGCAACTGATTGATGTCTCTCTCTCACATCAGATGTTTCTCTGTCTCTCTACCTCTCCCTTCCTCCCAATAAAACGTATCCCCAGGTGAGGATTTTTTTTAAAAAAAGGGTAAGAACTGCAGTAGGTTGGGAGACAAATATGGTTAAATTCATTAGTTCATAATGACAAAAATATTTCTTACCTTTGGAGAATGGCAGAGAATCAATTCGTTATTTTAAGAACTGGTAAGTAAAGGGAAAGAATGAAGCATCTATTTAGCTTTATAAAGTCACTGGTGAAGGGAAGTTTCTGTTTATATAAATATTTTGGCTAGTGCATGAAGATAGAATTTTAGAATTGGAATATCACCATGAAGTAATGGATCCAGATATTAAGTTTCAGTAACAGCGATCATCACCTACACAGTACAAGAGACAACCAGACATGATGTGCTTCCTGATAGAAGAAAGCACCACCATCTATGAAGTGTTCTAGTCCCCCAAAAATTGAACTTAGAAATATGATCAAGCCTGTAGATGCCACTACCAGTTATAGGAAGTAAAAAGGAGTGGGAAATGCATTGAACACCAGGGGATGCAATCAGCAAATCAACACTAGGAAGCGCCTCAAGGCAAACCTGGATTCTTCAACCAATATATTGCCAAAGAAAATAAAGGAATGGAGAAGGAACCTGTAGATTAAAAGAGACTAAAAAAGACATATTGCCCATTGCAATAGATGGACTTACAGATAGTCCTTGGGTTATGTCAGACTTGATGTACATTGTTTCATGGTTACATCACCATCTCCCATCCTATATAATAAAAGGGTAATATGCAAATAGACCAAACAACAGAACAACCAAACAACCAATCAAAGCGTAATATGCTAATGATATGCTAAGGCAGCTCAACCGCTCGCTATGAAGTGCACTGACCACCAGAGGGTAGATGCTCCGACCTGTAGGTTAGCTTGCTGCTGGGGTCCAGCCAATGGGAACTGAGCAAGATGGGCTGGACATGCCCTGAAGCCCTTCTGTGGTCCCTCCGCAGCCTGATCGTGCATTGGTGGGGTCCCTCAGCCTGGCCTGCACCCTCTCGCAATCCAGGACCCTTTGGGGGATGTCGGAGAGCCAGTTTTGGCCTGATCGCACAGGCCACTCCCCTTGGGAGGGCACCAGATGCAGGGCTCATGGCTGGCAAGTGCTGCAGTGGCAGTGCGAGCCTCTCCCGATCAGGACTGATTGGGCATGAGCCCACAGCAGGCACAGTGGAGCCGGGATGAGTGGGAGCGGCAGGTGGGAGCTGCAGGTGACGTTGGACTGCGGGTTTCGGCCTGATCCCTGCAGGCCACCCAGAGGGACCCCACCCATGCATGAATTCATACACCGGGCCTCTAG